CCCCCCCCTTTGCTTTCAGAGCCAGGCCAGGTGTGTGAGCTCCTAGGGGCACCAACCAGGCCTGGCTTCCCTGCCCTCTCATGCCAGGCCACACCTGGCAGCATGCAGGCCCCCAGAACATCACCTGTGAGTGCCGCCTGGCAGCAGGTTGTCATTTTCCTTTGGAAATACACGCGCCGTGAGAACTGCCTCTGCCAGGGAAGGAGCCGGTCAGAAACAGTCCTTGTTTTAGTGGGTGTTTCCTTAGTTACTTCGGGAGGCGAGAACCGTGCTGGGGTGAGGGCCCTGGGCGCAGTGCAGGCAGATCTGTTCTCTCTAGCCGTCCATATCTCTTCCCACCCGCGCCAGCCTCCAGGCCAGAGGGAACACAAGGTGTCTCTGACGTGACCCCCTCGGTCCCCACGCCAAGGACACGGCCACATTCCAACCTCAGCCTGGGCCTCTGCCCTTTGTGGTCTGCCCTCCAGGGGGCTCAGGCTTCTTAACAAGGGTGTGTAAACGGACTCCCCTTTTTTTTAAATCCTCACCTGAGAATATTTTTTCCCCCGTTGATCTGTAGAGGGAATGGAAGGGAGAGAGAGAGAAACATCGATGTGAGAGAGACACATTGACTGGTCGCCTCCCGCACGCGCCCCGACTGGGGCCGGGGTCGAACCTGCCACTGAGGTACGTGCCCTTGACTGGGAATCGAACCTGCCATCCTTCGGTCTGTGGGCTGACACTCTAACCACTGAGCCGAACCGGCCAGGGCTAAACGGACCCTTTTAAGTCATATCCAAAGCTCTCTACTAAAGACAAATGTGTGTTTTTCTGGGGAGAAGTTCTTAGCATTTGTCAGAAGGAAGATAAGAATCGTAATTTTTACTGTTGGGGGGGCCTCTCTTCCCCATGGGGCCTTTGGCTCGAGTCTGGCCAGCAGATGTCAGCCCGTGGTTTTCTCCTGGAACACTCCACGCCTCCCATCGCCTGGGCTCCCTGAACACGAAGACACCAGCCAAAGGGATCCGGGGACAGCCTGCCGGGCCACCCTGCATGTCTGACCCTTGACCTTTCCCTTCTGCCACCAGGATCCTGGTCACCAACAACCAGCTCTTCAGCAGCTCCTACGACCGGACGGCCCGTGCCTGGAGTGTGGACAAGGGGCAGGTGTCCCGGGAGTTCCGGGGCCACCGCAACTGCGTGCTGACGCTCGCCTACTCTGCCCCCTGGGACCTCCCTGGGGCGCCCTTTGAGGAGGAGGCTGTGGCCGGGGGGCTGCTGGTGACGGGCAGCACGGATGGAACGGCCAAGGTGTGGCAGGTGGCCAGCGGCTGCTGCCACCAGACACTGCGGGGCCACACAGGTGCCGTGCTGTGCCTGGTGCTGGACACGCCCAGCCACACGGCCTTCACGGGCAGCACAGACACCACCATCCGCGCCTGGGACATCCTGAGTGGGGAGCAGCTGCGGGTGTTTCGGGAGCACCAGGGCTCAGTCATCTGCCTGGAGGTGAGACCCGCCCCGCCCCGCCC